TGATGGAGGGTTTTCTCTGACGCTGCATGTGGTGTAGCAGGGAGCCAGGGAGGTCAGAGGCAGAAAGTTAAGCTAAATAATGTACACAAGAAGTGGCAGCTGCCAGAAAAATCCGGCCCATCTTTCGCAGAGGCCTGCAGGATACATTCTAACTAGCAGAACACTGTACAGGCAGTTGGCTCCTGTCTCATTTTTTCAGGGCAGGGACAAAGTGACCAGGGCTGGAGCTATGTATTTTACAAATGCTCAATTAACATACTGTATATTTAGATCAGTTAGAGCAGTTATGCTCAGAAAAAGTCCCAAGAGCTTTATTTAAATAAATCCTTGACAGGTTTAACATGTTGTGCTTTTTGAATGGCTTTACCATGTGCTCTCCATTTACGTTTTGGTCACTGGGAATGTTGCTGCCTATGGCAAAGTTGTGTTGTTTCTTTCCTTGCAGAAGCAACACCTCACTTGGTTGACAATGACTGAATTGAATATGATGACTCTCTGCATTATTTGTGGGAAATTTCCAAGTCAGGTGGCTCAGCTTTCAAGACACCGACAAATTATGCAAAACACACATGATCCCCAGGACAACAGTCAGTCGAAATCAGCCTCTATGTTGATAAAGCAGCAAGATGACAACCCCTAATCAGGTCTGAATAATGTACTGGCACCACGGATGAGTGCTAAGCCTAGTTTCCTTAGTTTTTACCCCTAAATGTCACTGTTAGCTTCATTTGTAGAACTTTTTGGTCACATGAGATCTGATTGTGAATGAATTACTGCATAGCAAAGACCAAATTATGCAGACAGAGATTTGTGTTTTATGAACTGGCACTACTTAGGTTATTAAATCAGCCCTCTTAAAATGCAATGGCAAACTGCCAGTTAGGTTAGGAGATATCCTGTGTGGAAGGCTTTGGTCCCGGGGTAGCACAAAAGAGGGCTGATGCCATCTCCAAAATGTGAAGTGTTTTGTGGTCAGTTTCATAGCTGAATTCTTAAGTGTCTTTGTTTGTGCCAAAATCATAAATTTGCCCAAATAGTTTGCAAATAGACAAATACATAAACATAACTGAAAAACATGAATCCAGGAAGACGTCAATAACTTCCAGGTGCCACTAAAACGCTGGAAGGTCCTGGGCTGCACAACCTCCTCTCTGCAATGAAATGTACGCTGGATAGTTAATAAGTAATCAGACTGTAATGCGATATGGAAGTATACAATTCTAGGCTATTAGTTTTGTTTGGTGAAAAGGAAGAATGGCTACCGTGAAAGTTATCAGTGGAATTGATACATAAAAATTTCACAGTGAAAGAAAACTGCAACACATCTGAGCCTGTAGTGTTTCTGCCTTAAGATGGTGTTGTCACCAAACAAGGGATCATCATATTACCCACCACAAGGTGACATTCCTAAATGTTTATCCCTAATATAGACCTGTCAAAAAGCCATGAAAATAAACAGTGTATTACGCAAACAGTGGAAGCTGATGACTGTGGGTAAAATCACCTAAGCAGCCTGGGAAAAACCACAAATGATACAATTGATGCTGGATAACAAGCGCTGGAGTGCTTGGGCGTTAAATAGTCTCACAACAGAAATCACTGCACGTTGTGACATTACTGAAACCGTACACTGATATAGCCGCACTGTCCTTCTGTGGCAGCAACGTAAGATAGTCTGACTGATGATAGAAGGACAAGAAATACTGGCCCCCATGAGGTATAACACTGAATGTACTCCAAACAAAGCACAGACACACATCTGTACATGCACAGACATGCATGGTCTGACAAAATATAGAGTATAATGCTGAGATACTGTAAAACAGGATACACCAGTGAGTCAGAGAATTAACGCACAGCACTGTTCCTCCAGTCCCCAGGAACATGCAGCCATCTGAAATAAACGTGGAAATGGCTTTTGTAGGGAGCAAAGGAAACCCTCTCAACAGTTATATAAGAGAAAAGGCCCTGAGCCTCTCTGTTTCTCTTCCTAACACACACACAAAAACACTTGCCACATAAGCATGGAGTCACACACCTATGCATATCACCACCAACAACAATGATACACGTACACACACCTGACAGGCAGAAACCCATTCTTTGGAAGAAAACAGCCTAGGGAAGCTCTGACACAACCACCTGCTCAGATTCAGTCAGCAGCGCTACTATTTATCAGAGGCCACCACATCCTACAAAGCAGCATTAGCTGGTGGCTGCAGCAAGACACAGCAGAGACATGCGCCTGTATCTTGGCAGGGGAGCGAACACTGATGAAGGATTCTAGGTCACCTGTGGCTCAGAGTGCAAACTGTACACACATGCAGTTATTTTGAGGAAGACTTATTCCCATGGTTTGTCTCGCAGGGCTCTGAAATAAAGCTGGGGTGAAACAAACGCTACACGTTCACAGTGTGTTTGACAGAGATATCACTAGCCGGTGCTATTCATTCCTCACCAAAGAATGAAGTTGTTAATGCAATGACTCATACACCCTGACAGATGAATTCATCAGAAGAGCATGTGAAGTGTGTGTATGTGTGTGTTACAGAGTGTTATGATGAGGGTGTATCATAGGGGGTGAGGCCTAGGATGCAGATACAAAAAGAATCTACGTGGTTAAATTATCATATAAGCACTGCTGCTCCCCGCATGTGAAGAAAAGAGTATGCAGAAGAAGTTGTTGAACTCAACATTGGCCCTTTTCATCACTGCCCAACTAGCCACTGCCTGCTGACTCATGCGTTCATAATAAATAGATGGCATTGCATAATATGATTATGACCAGACAGACCCAGGTTGGCCCAAACTTAATCATATAAGATTTCTGTTGAAACTCTTAAGCTGCATGAAGTCTTTAATAAGACAGTCCCCCTTCCTGACAAGTTGACAGCAGAGCTTCGGGCACAGCATTAGTAACACACAGGAAACTGTCCTCTCATCTGCATAGGAATTAACAAAGACTGCTATTGCTTGGTGTTTGTTGGAAGAGAGAAGAGAGAGAAGAAGAGAAGAAGAGAAGAAGAGAAGAAGAGAAGAGAAGAGAAGAGAAGAGAAGAGAAGAGGAGAGGGCAGTGACTGGGGGAGAAATCCATTTAAATGAAAGGGAGAAGAGAGGCGTCAGCATTAGCAGTTAATCCACTGCAGTGAGAATGCTTTCTCTCTGCCTGCGGCCTCTAGGCTCCAGTAGTCATCCTAACAGGAAGACTGTAACATACACTGCACTCTATCACAAACAGCAGATCCGACCCTGACATGAGAACTACGCCAAATAAACAATGCGTGACTTACCAGAAATAAGACAGCAACACACAGATTTCATGCTGAGGCATCATCCATCCATGTGACTGCACTTACAGCTGCGTTACCATGTTATGTCATATTGTGCATATACAGTATGCATATAGATACATTTGATACCTCCATGCTCGAGATGTAGTTACAAATCCCTATCATTTAAGCCTGCAAAAAATGAACTTCCCCTGCCATTCAAACAAACACACACACAAGACATTTTCAGTGTTATGTGTCCACGTTCCCTACCCCAGGGGAGGGCCATGACACAAAAGTGCACATACAAAGGGAGCATCTCTCTTCCCCTCTCTGTTTCTCTCCCACCCCTTTTTCTCTCTCTCACCCACACGCTTTCTCTATTTAGCTCACACTTAAAAAGGCTGCCTAAAGATAGAAGCAAGAAGATGAGCAGGAGCCAGCGAGTGTCATAGCAACAACGTGCAGCGGCTCACAAACACTATTTAGACTGGTAAGAAAAAGTTATAATCAAAGCCTAAATGCGCTAGTATCACCTCTTCAAAGACACAGTTTACTAAATTTCAATGCAAACACGTGCCAGGACTCAAAGCTCATAATTCAACAGTTGAGTAGACAGCATACCTGTCATGAAAATGAACTAGTTATTGTACTTCAAATGTTGTGGGAAATCCTCACTAACTCCTTGTAAATTGTTTGAATTTCAGTCTATTCACACATCTTGACACAATGCTCATCATTGTTAAATGACATCATCATTTAATTCTTCAATAGTTTAATGTGAAAATACCCCATAATACTACATGCTAATGAATATGTGTTCATAATTCTGAATGAAACAAGCTATGAAACATCACCATGATGCTCTTTAATGAATCAACGGAAAAAATGGCGAAGAGGATAAAACTTAAAGCATGCGGCACTCAGAAGAGATTCAATTTGGAATGATCAAATAATAATGTAACTGCTGCTAAGCCCTATGCATTGCAGTTCTGCAGGAATAGATGTTGGACACAGCCCCAGAAATGTTCACTACCCCGTCAGGATGTTTCAGAAAAACTCTGCATCTCCTTCCACTAGAATCCCCCTGAGGCCACTTGCACATCAAAGCACCGATTTCTGAAATGCCTGGTTTCACTTCCTGAGTAGTATTACTCCAACATACTCTGAAGCTAATTTGACACAACTGACAAAGACACGTTACGATTCTCACAGATTCCAGCGCACCAGGTATATACAGTAGAAAAGATTTAATGTCACTCCGCTTTCTGCTGTGTTCCTGACAGATTAAAAAAAAACATCTGAAATGTTAGGTGTCCAGTTCATGATGAGTAATAGCCTAAGAGTACTGGATGACATTAATCCATATGACCACCATCTTCACGGATCAGTTCCTACATTATCTGATGCAACACTGACCAGAGCTCCGTCATCTCCATATTACCAGTACCAGTGAGAGGTGATCATGCTGTTATCTCACACCTACTCATATTTCCCTCAGGTAAACAAACTCAGTGTGACTTTACAGTGCGTACAGTATGTATGTGTATGTGTGTGTGTATATACAGTATATTGGCACTTAATATCATATATACAGTGGTCTCACAGTATTCTAAAGGCCTTGAAAGCCGAACAGAAAGAAGATTAAAAGCAGTGACTGGGTCAATCTGTATTTATGTGTGTGTGTGTGTGTGTGTGTGTGTGTTTATGAGGGTTAGCGTGCTACTCACTACATTGACCTGCAATGGTTCTGAACCAGGTCTCAGCCTCCTCCTCCTGCAGCTACCAGAGCCTCCAGACCGCAGACGCACCGATGATGACGACTGACCCATGTCCCCTGGACAGACAGACAAGTAATCAACTCAACAAACACATGTCAATCACAAGTCTGAATACTGATGCAAAAAAATACAAATTATGCAATGATACCTGACTGAGGCAGGAGCAGCGCCAAGGCGGTGAGAGTGCTGGGGGGAAGCGGCAGGGAGCGGCACCGCTGGAGAGATGCCCTGAGTGGGGGCTCTAACGGTGACACACCCGGGGGGCGAGACAAGGCCTGGAGGGTACTGAGTAGTTAGGGCATCTCCTATATTCTATACAGAGTTACTCTGATACATACACACACACAGTTGAATGCACACACTCCCCTGCCCTTCACGTTAAAAAAAATTCTTCCTTACTGCCTTGTCCCCCTTTTTTTTTTTTTTTTTTGCAGTGAATTAAAGTATTTCACATCCAGCAAGTCTATTCTGGTGCATTGGTCGGTGTGCATGCCCTGCAGCAAACCATGAGAGACTATACATCATGCCAACCGGGCGGTCTCTCAGGTTAAAATGAACTGACTCTGAGTTAGGGCAATGAGAGGTAGAGCTTATGGGAGCGATGAGGCAGAAAATTGGCCACAGAGAAAGACTGAGAGTGAGGGCGAGAGAAAGAGAAGCCACAAAGAAAGAAAGAGAGAGAAAGAAAGAAAGAAAGAAAGAAAGAAAGGGCGAGAGAAAGGGAAAGAAAATGAGAGGGAGAGGGGGAGGTGAGCTGAGGGAAAAGCAGCAACCAGAAATACAGGCCTCTATAAATGGGGCAGAGCGTGCATGCATTGTTGCAGCTAACAGTGGTGAGCGGTGTATAAATACTCAGTTAGTACCCGGCTGCCCTTCAAAGTCCGTAGTGTGTGTTTGATTCATTATGGGCTTGGGTTATATTTATGAGTGAGTTGGTGTAGACTACTTCCATTTTTTCAACATCACAATGTAATATATACATAAATATATATATATGTCTGTCTTATATATATATATATATATATTTACTCAGTATAAATGTGTATTTTATATATTTATGGGACTGCTTATTTGTCATTTTTATGTCAATGTTTGTATGTTTGCTTTGAGTGAATGTATGCATGAGTGCCTGTGTTTGTTATTTGGCATCTTACTCTGTGGTGCAGCTCCGTGGACTGCGTCTCCCTAGTAACACTGGTCTCTATGACAGAGCAAGGCCTGGAGCGAGCAGCCACCCGTCTCTGCCCCGGAGAGTGTTGCATGGTGGGAGCAGGCCTGCGTCTCCGCCGACACAGCGAGCCAACCTCACTATAATGGCTGTAGAGATCTCGGTCTGGGTTTGGCCTCCACAGGTCCAGGACAGCTGAGGCCGGGCGAGGACGAGGGCGCAGGGACTTGTGATGTACAGAGGTCTTCTCTGTGCTAGAGTGGGGCACGGCTGAGCCTGGCTGTCTTACACTGCAGCCTGTCTGGCTGGCAATCTGCTCACACAGCTGTGATTGGCACAGATACTCAGCATTTTGGCCCAAATAAAGGTGCAACAATGCATTTCTTGTGTAGGGAATTGGGAGGAATGTCTCCATAGATTAAACAAAATCTATCTCATATTTCATTTCAAAACACTGTAATAGCTATGAGCTGATGTTCTTAATGGCAATGCATCAGTAGTTAGCCACAAGTGCCAAGACTGCACCTTAATGGCAGATAAACTTCAGAGAAGATTAGAAAACATACAACAGACTGGTGGATTTAATTTGTAAACAGTTGGTAATAATGGAAGAGGATTTTCCCGGTTGACATCACTTCTCATAATTTATTGTAGACCTGCATATTAGCACCCTTCCCAAAACACAGATTCACACAGCCGTTGCCCTTGCATAATAAACCCCTACCAAAGTGTGCTGAGTATTGAGATGTCATATCTCATTTTGTCATTAGGAGTTAGGGCTAACATGTCCTGACTCGTTGGTGTGACTGGAAGGAAGATGACTAATGCCTCCACTGGAGTGAGGAGGGAAGGGTGCCGTCATGAAGCGCAGACGTCACAGAGCTCTAGGGCTACCGCAATTACACATGGCCAGCTCTGTGGGAAATAGGGTTTCCTTGCATGCTGCACAAAGCTGGCTAAGCAGGAAAGGACAAACTCCTCTAGTATGATGTTGGACACCATTGTAATTACTGACTATTTCCTCTTCTCTCCAACAGATGGGGCAAAAGGACAACTGTAGAGTAGGTGCCCAATACATGTCCTCACAGGCTGGTGTCTTGAATGTTTTTGTTTCTCCCTGGCACTTAATGAACCACACCTAGGACTTACATCATGAGGAAATGAGTGATAGCTCTGGCACCATTTAAATTCTAGTTTGTTGTTGATGATTTTAAGAAGCAAAAGAATGACCATGGTTAAAACAGTTACATAAATGATATTTTGAGCATTTATGCAGTAAATTACATGATGCATGCCTCTGGCGATGTTAATGATGTGGAAAAAGCCTGCAATGGAATGTGGTTATGGCATAAATGTGAGACAAATTATACATGAAAATGCTATTCTCTCACAAGAAACACAACAGTAGTTTAGCAATACAAATTACTGACTTCTCTGCCAAATGCATTTATTAAAATTCAGTGGCTGGTACTTAATGCAGCTCATTTTCTTTTTAAAGTCACATACCTTAAATATTTCCTCTGTGGAATCTGTTGCTGGTACGCTATTGGTCGTGCTCTCTTTATCACCTTGTTGTGATTGGACATTCACTTCCTGTATCTGGTGGGAGTCAGGTGGAGCATCCCTGGAATCCTGCTCATTTCCTGTCTGTCCCTCTATCTTTTCCTCTTGACAGAGACAGTGTAATGGATCCTGTTTAACCTCTGCTACTTTTTTAGTGTCTGTGTTTGTACCTGACTGAGGGATATGATTCTCTACTATAGCTGTGGACCTGTGGTTTGTCTCTCTGTCTATATGTTTGTCTGTACCCTCAGAACTCTGGAGGCCATTGACAGCTTGAGATCCTGGGCATGCCCTAAAGGCTTTCAGGACCACGTTCGGGGATCGTCCACCTGTCACAGGTGTCGGACCCTCACTGTCAAAGCCACTGGAGTGTAAGGATTTAGTGTTCACTGGTGATGATGGGGTAGGCTGGGATATTGGAAGTCCTTCGCTGTGAAGCGTAAGGGACACACTGTGAATGTTGTCCACTGTGCGCTGTGTGGCCCGTGGGGAGCTCATCGGAGTCCTCTCTCCCTCTGGAGGAGAGAAGGAACGTGATGTTGTCCGCCATTTTCTGGCTGTCTCTGCTACACTGTTGAAAAACTTGAACAGACCACCAAAGTGCCCCTTGTTATCAGAGTGTTTTGGGGGCGGAGGTTGAAAGTCTCTGACACTCTCAAAGTCTACAGAGCCATAATCTGAGTCAATGGTTTTGTCCAGAGAGTGAAGCTCAGAGTCAAAGCTCCGCTCTGAGTAGACGGGATTGGCCTTCCCCAAAAGAGAAATCCTCCTCAGGTAACTCCACACATCTTTGTGCCTCCTTCCTCTTGCCTGGTGGGTGCTCGGGCTACCTTTAATGGTGGGCTCTTCAGAGCCTGCAGCAGTTTTGTTACAGTTGGTTGAATTGTTGTGAATTCTTTTAGTATAGAAAACTCTTTCAGATGGTTTACAACCATTCTGAGTCACAGGCTCTCCTGTTACAGAGGGCTGATGGCCGTCTATCGGAGCTGAGAGGTCAATATCTTCAAATGAGCAGTCAAATTCTGCTGTATAGCCAGCATATGAGTGCCTCTTGCCACGGTGTCGAAGTGTGCCCCTGCTGGACTGCTGTGGAGTGCCAATGTCACGGCAGAAAGAGTCCTCATCCACAAACGAGCTGCTGAACTTTGCAGTGGACAATTTCCCTGCCCTCCCCCTAAACACAGAGGGGGATTTAAGCTTCTTGAAGGAGCGAACTTTGTCAGCAAACGAGAGTTTAGGGATGGAAGCCTCCCCAGGCAGGATCATGGAGTGGGGTCTGCGCTCCAGCTCTGACACAGCTCTCTTTCGGTTCAAGATCTTCCAGATACCCCCTGTGGCACGGGGCCTCCGGTTGACCTCTTGTCTGTCCTTGACAGGGGCCTGAGAAGAGGCAGCCTGGGTCTCTCCCTGCCCCTCTGCAGGCCCTGGCCCAGTCTCCTGAATATAAACACTGCTGGTTTCATTCTCCACATCCAGAGAAACATTAAACACTCGGTTGACAAACCCATTAGGGTTGTTGCTCTCAGGGGCAGGGCTGTCTGTCTGTTCCATCCTCTCTCATTCTACAGTGTCAGCTATCAGCTCCAATGGACATCATGTCTTAGGCCTCTGTCTCTTAAACACCTGGAGGAACAAAACCACATTTTTATTCAGGAATTTGACATTAAAATGACTGCCTTGTCATTTTATATCATTCTTATTCTCTCTGAACTTGCTCAGAAGGCCTGTAGATGTCCCCCCATAAACACAAAATACAGAATATTAAATATTCTGAGTGGATGGTCAGCTACATTCTATCTACACACGAGGTCATATGTTCAAGAGTAATAAATCTGTAGTATTACTTCAACATTAAAACACAATGAGACCATTAGAGGGCTCATTTTGTGATTCTCAGACAGGCCTTTTGATACCATGAGTCAACAGTCACAAACACCCAATGCTTCCCTCCCCCCATATTTGGTCCATATTATCCAAAGTAATTATTTGAGACACAGTCCCCATCCACAATTTAAACCAGGAGGCTGCGTTGTCATGGAAACACTCACTACAGAGATGTCTGGTTATTTCAGGCCTGCTCCAGCTGCGACATCATCACAGCTCAGATAAGCTCCCTCTGAGGAAGAAGATGCTGGGCAAGTGCTATACTAGCTACTACATGTTAATTACCCCCCACCTCAGCCCCCCACCTCCATTTCATAATCCCTTTAATGTATGGAAGCATCTTGTGTAATTGGGGCCTCCAGCATATATCTTTGTTGGTACATGAGATCATCACTAAGGA